CTTTCCCGAATCCCATAAGTTTTGGGTTACTGTGTTCATTTTCCTGCACCCCCAAAACATTTGATCACTTCTCCTGTGACTTCTTCTTCTACTCATTGGTTGTTTATTAGTGTATTGTTTAATTTCCATATATGTATTTCCCAAATTTCTTTCTGCAATTGATTTTTTTTTCTTGGTTTCAGAGAGGGAGAGGAAAGGAGAAAGAGAAACATCGATGACGAGAGAGAACCATTGATTGGCTGCCTCCTGCACATCCCCTACCGGGGATTGAGCCTGCAACCCGGGCATGTGCCCTTGACTGGACTCAAACCCGGGACCCTTCAGTGTACAGGCTGATGCTCTATCCACTGAGCCAAACCAGCCAGGGCTCTGCAATCGATTTCTAAGTTCACTCTCCTGATGTCATCAAGGTCAAAAAGTGTACTTTGTATGATGTCAATCTTTTTCAATTTATTGAGAATTTTTTGGGAACTTTTCGTGTGCACTTGAGGAGAATGTGTATTCTGCATTGTTATGTGGCATGTTCTAGACATGTCTGTTAGGGCTGGTTGATTGAGTGCTGCTCAAATTTTCTATCTCTTTGCTGATCATCTAGTTGTTCTATCATGGAAAGTGAGGTATTGAAATCAATCATGAATGTTGAATCGTCAGTTTCTCCCTTCAATTCTGTCATTGTATTTTGAAGTTTTGTTATGAGCATATATATATTTATAATTGTTATATCTTCTCAGTGACTCAACTCTTAACAGTTCTGCCAGTTTTTTTTTAATTATTTTATGAAGGGGTGGAATTTGGGGGAGGGTTTGACTCCACTTTGCTGTCTCCTTAAAACAGTATTTATCACACTTGTTCTCCAGAGCAATCATGCAAGAAATGTGATATTGTCCCCATCTTACAGTGCAGGAAACTTGTTCTCTCTCTTCTCTTTGTGTATCAGTTGAAGCAACTGTGAAAGGAACCAAAATGACCTGTTTGTTTCTCACATAAAGATCTCAACAAATAGAGCGGGCCTGCTCTTCTAATGCAGGAGGTTACAGGCTCCTGTGTTCTGATGGCTCAGCTATTAAGTCACAAGTTTGGCTGCTGCAACTAAAAGACACAAACTGGCCCTAATGGGTTTGGCTCAGTGGATCGAGCTCTGGCCTGCAGACTGAAGGGTCCCAGGTTCCATTCCGGTCAAGGGCATGTACCTTGGTTGCAGGCACATCCCCAGTAGGGATTGTGCAGGAGGCAGCTGATCAATGTTTCTCTCTCATCCATGTCTCTAACTCTCTATCCCTCTCTCTTCCTCTCTGTAAGAAAAAAAAATCAATAAAATATATTTAAAATAAAATAAAATAAAATAAAAGACACAAACTGCCCTGGCCAGTTTGGTTCAGTGGTTAGAGCATCGACCTATGGACTGAAAGGTCATGAGTTCTATCCCTGGTCAAGGGCACGTACCTCAGTTGCAGGTTTGATCCACCGCCCTTGTTGAGGCACATGGGAGAGATAACCAGTCGATGTGCCTCCTTCACATTGATGTTTCTCTCTCCTTCCCCCTCCTCCTTCCCTTCCATTCTCTCTAAAAATCAATGGAGCCCTAGCTGGTTTGGCTCAATGGATAGAGAGTCTGCCTGTGACTGAAGGGTCCCGGGTTCGATTCTGGCCAACGGCACATGCCTGGGTTGCGGGCTCCATCCCCAGTAGGAGGCGTGCCGGAGGCAGCCAATTGATGATTCTCTCTCATCATTGATGTTTCTATCTCTCTCCTTCTCCCGTCCTCTCTAAAATCAATAAAATACATATTAAAAAATAAAATCAATGGGAAAAATGCCCTCAGGTGAGGATTTAAAAAAACACACACAGAACAGCATAGCTTAAACAAGACGGAAAATGTCATTTCTCAGGTGTAAGCCTTCAGAGGTGGTTGGAATCTAGGATGGGAGGCCCGCAGTGTCGGAATTCAGGCTTCCTCTATCTCAGGGATGGCAAACCTTTTGAGCTCGGCGTGTCAGCATTTTGAAAAACCCTCACTTAACTCTGGTGCCGTGTCACATATAGAAATTTTTTGATATTTGCAACCGTAGTAAAACAAAGACCTATATTTTTGATATTTATTTTATATATTTAAATGCCATTTAACCAAGAAAAATCAACCAAAAAAATGAGTTCGCGTGTCAGAGGTGACACTATCTTGTTCTGTCTTCCATCTCATGCTCCAAAATGGCTTTAGCCACCAATTTTGCATCCCTGCCAACAGGAAGAAAGAAAAGGGGCCGTTCTCTCTCCTATTTCCCTTATCAAAGGCATGACTCACAGACATTCTCTTCATTGTTCCCACTCACATTCCTCGGCCAGAACTTAGTCACATGACCACAGCTGGCTACAAGGGAGCCTGGGAAATGTAGTCTTTGGCTGGGAAGTCATGTGCTGGGCTAATTTCTGTAAATGTGGAAGAGCTGCGAGTGGACCCTGCCTCATGGGTCCCTCCTGAGCCAGGCTGGCAGGAATCACACAGCATTTTATGGCGATGAAAGAGAGCAATGATCCAAGGCCACCTGGGGAAGTGCCTCGTCCACCCCGGGACCCAGCACATGAGGCGGCCTTGTCAGATTTCAAACCCAGAACTTAGGCCACCTCATGCGCTGTGTCCCTGGGTGGACACGGGACATCCCCTCTCTGAGCCTCATCATCTGCCTCTCTCGCAGAACGGGCCAAATCATCTCAACAGGTGTGGTTGTGAGGAAGGAAAGAGAAAATGTGTGTATGTGCTTGGCCTGGAGCGCAGTGCCTGCTTATGTCCAGAAAGTGGGTCACCTTTAGAATCCCCCAGCACCTGGAGGGGAAGTCAGAGCATGTGTCTCAACAATTTATCTTTTTTTATATATATATTTTATTGATTTTTTACAGAGAGGAAGGGAGAGAGATAGAGAGTTAGAAACATCGATGAGAGAGAAACATCGATCAGCGGCCTCCTGCACGCCTCCCACTGGGGATGTGCCCGAAACCCAGGTACATGCCCTTGACCGGAATGGAACCTGGGACCTCTCAGTCCGCAGGCCGACGCTCTATCCACTGAGCCAAACCGGTTTCGGCAATAATTTATCTTATTTATGTCTGCGGATCCTGCAGGCTTTGATCTCAGTGTTCGGCTGACACCATCTCCCTTCCTCCACCTGTCGGAGTGCCCCCCCACCCCCACTCCCTCCTGGCCCTACTTATTGTGCGTCCCACCACCAAGCGGAAGCCAGGTCCGCCCCTGGCTCTCGGGGCAGGAGTCCCTGGAATCAGGCTCACGCGGCCACTCTAGGGCAGAATCGAGGTGTGCACTGAGCCTCCTCGGGGGGCTAGACTTGCACCTGGGCTTGGGGTTTGGCTCCCACCCACCTGTCTCTCCTTCTTCCCCAGAGCGGGGTCAACAGTGGATTGGTTCGCGCCAAAGACTCCATCACCAGCTTGAAGGAAAAAACCACCCGGGTCAACCAGCACGTGCAGACGCTGCAGGTGTGCGGCCCACCCTGCCCCCCAACACCTCCTCTTCCTCCGGGGCGCTTGGCTCTCTTAGGCCCCTCCACCAGCTCAGTGAGCCCATGGCCCAGCTGGAAAGCCAGAGGCTCAGAAAGGAAAGTCGTCTTCCCAGGCCTAGCCTCTCCCCACCACGGGGGGGGGGGGGGGGGGGGGAGATCCACAGGACTGTTGGTGCCAGGGGATTTGAGATCTGGGTTCCATAATTACAAAAGACTAAGCCGGGGTGGGGGGAGCAGGGAGTGGGCCTAGGAAGAGGGTGGGGGGAATGGAGTGGGTGGACATGAGCGGGTGGGGGAGTGGAAAGCAGGACAGGACAGGTTGAAGGAGAAAGCCATCCCTTTAACCGAGGGAGCCAGGCGCCGAAGGGGTAGGACCAGAGGCAGGGGGCAGACACTGGCTGTGGGGGCCAGGGGGGAGGTGTGCCTTGTCATCTGGGGTGCCACCTGTATGGGAATAGAGGGGAAGGGCAAGGAGGCAGAACTGGAATGGGAAGGCAGGGCCCCTGCCCCGGTGTCCTGACCCAGGAGAACTGCCGGAAGGTGACCCGCTCGGTGGAAGACGCTGAAATAAAAACCAACGTCCTGAAACAGAACTCCGCCCTGCTGGAGGTAAGGGGGCCGGGGGTGTCCCAGGACTGGGGACAGGGTACTTGGTCGGACTTCAGGCGGGCCTTTCCCACCCCACCATCACCCCGCCCCCTTCATGTTCACGGTCATGCTTCTCTGTGCACGGTAACAGTCAGGTCCCGGAGAGAGACGCGGGGTTGGACTTGGAGCGGAAATGTCCGTGGCGCCCATGTGCCCACACATCTCCCGGCAAAATGTTGGGAAAGTTTCAAGTGTTCTTCCCAAACGGAGAGACTGACACCTCGGAGGACTGGAGTGGGGGCGGGGGTGGAGGACTTGGGGGGTGCAGGGCTGAATGGAGACAGGGAGGCAGGCATCTTCAAATGGGAGAAAGGTCCCCAAGTAACAGCAAGGGGGAGTCCATTTAGACTCCCAGCTGGACTTCCCAATATCCTGTCCCCCACGCCCAAGTACTTTCCAATCTCAGGGACTCACTGGGTGGATTGTGTGTGTGAGGTGATAGTGGGGGGCAAGGGGCTCCACGCCCTAACCCTGCCCGCCCTCAGGAGAAGCTGCGCTACCTCCAGCAGCAGCTGCAGGACGAGACGCCCCGGAGGCAGGAAGCCCAGCTGCAGGAGCTGGAGCAGAAGCTGGAGGCAGGCCTGTCCCGGCAGGGCTGCTCGGGGCCGCCCGGGAGCCCCG